TCAAGGTCCGTATGCTTACAGGTTTCCTTGAGCCCTGGGACTACTAATTCTCTTGGCCTGTATAAATGTCACTCCTCCTTCATGGCCCCCCAGAGCCACACCTTCTCCTGTAAGATACCCATACTGCCTTACTTTAATAGAAACTCGATGAAATACTAGTTTGTCTGTCTGTTTTTTAATACTCAAGGATCATATACTGGTCTCATCAAAATCCCAAATTCCTTTCCCGTAGCATAAGGCACTGTACTATCATCTCAGAAGGATGCCAGTTTCACGTGAACACGTCTTACACTTCCGACAACCTCTTTGTTGTCAGCAGAAGGTGAACCCCTCACACACAGCCCAACCAGCCCTTCTGTAACACCTTTCTCAATGCAGCTGCCTCCCCGTTGGGTCTCTTCTTTCATTCAGCTTTTCAGTCGCTTCTTGGCTACTTTCTGAGAGCCAGGGTCAGTGCTAGAACAAGATGAGTACAGGGTGGTCCCTGATCTCAGAAAGCTCAGTAAATATTGAGTCAAAGAATGTCTGAACCAATTGACTGATAAATAAACAAATAAAACCAACCCATCACCCAACATATATCTGGCAACTTCCTTAAACTGCAGGCATGGTGGTCAAGGAAATAAACATAAGATTCTCAATAATGGCCTCGAAAAGCCAAAATCTAGGAAAGCAACAAAACATGTCACACTGGCTTTTTTGTTTTTTAAGATGAACTTAAAAGTTGTCTCCAGGGAGTGATGTAGCAGAGGTCACCTGGGAAATGAGCAAAAACTACAGAGACAGGTAAGTGTCAAGCACTATGTAAGACAGAAGAAATAGTCTGTGTCTCTGTTTTCTTGGAATTGGCTGTTTCTTTACTCTGTAGAGAAGCAAGGAAAAGATATCATTATGGGAAAATATTCAATTTATGAAAATCAAGCACAGAAAACATTTTGTAAAACCATCGAGTATTACTTCCCTTCTTCCTTGATTAAAAGCAACCTCAGCCCTGTACAATCAGAGCATTTCAATCAAGCCACGAAGCGGGCTGGTAAGGGAAAAGACAGAGGACGTCCAAGCTTTTCTTAACTAAAATGTAAGCAGCAGCAGAGCATTAGTCTGCCCTAAGACTGTCCCTTCTCAGAGTGTGTGACAGCCTTTGAGAGAAGACTGTTATAAGAATCAGAAAGGGGCAAAGAATTAAAGAAAAATTATTCCTTTTCTAGGCATATGACAACTTCTTATTTGAGCTAAAATGAAAGGTCTTCCAATAACTGTCTTCCATTGAGCACCCACTAAGTGCCAGATGCTCTGCTAAGTAATCTTTGCAGCTGGGCTCTAACGTTCTTACAAGCCCTACGAGGAAAGCCCAGGTTTCATCAGCGAGCAGTTAGGTGCCTGGCCGGGGCCTCACACCCAGGAAGTAGCAGCACATCCAGGATCCAAACAGAGCTGCGTGGCTGCACGGCCCACTCTCCTCCACTTCTGACAACTGCTCAGACAACGCTCTGCACCTACCCAGTCACTCACTCACTGATCCTGAAGCAGGGTCTGCTAAGCACAAGGGAGCACGGCAGAGGACATGATGCCACCCGAGGACTCAGGTCCAGTCAGAGACACAAGCCACCAACACATAAAACAACTGTGACGTGTCACGTCCAGAGAAGTGTCCTAGGACGTGTAGAGGCACAGGAGGGAAGAGGACTGTGTGCCTGGTGTGGAGCTGGACCCAGCAAAGAAGACAGGATTGGGCCATTATTAAACAGAAACTGG